AACTCAGCCAGCTAATACATGGGAACTTGCACGAATTAATTATCCCGCCTCTCCTCATGCATGGCTCTTTTTTGTTTCTTTTTATGAGGTTATCACGCATGTCATTCTATCTCTTCATCTTCGGCTTCCTTAGAGATTAGGCACAATACCCCTTCCTACTCCTCATCAATCTTCACTCCTTGATCCGGATTTTAGTCCAAAATCCTCATCGACCTTTACTCCTTGTTCAGGTCCCACTCCCAATCACCCGTCTGTTAATTCTTTGTGATTCCCCAAGATAATCCATTGCGATGAGCATCCAGTAGGTAAAGTTCCACCCCCAACCCCTTCTACTAATTCTGTGCAATTTCCCCAAATAATCCATTGCAGTGAACATCGAATAGGTAATGTTCCACTCAGTCCTTTTTTTTATTTTGTATTCTGTTCTTCTCAAATCTCAAATTGGTTGGACTGCATATTAGTGTTTCTCTCGACCACTTCGCCGTTTGTTGCCAGCCCTAGGACTTGTGTGCATCAACATCAATTGTAGCCTGCAATTGGAGGCTAATGCTGTTTCATTTCCTTTTATTTCTATGCTCAGTTCTTAAGTTCTGATGTATATCTCTTAGTTTTAGTTTCTGCAATATCTTTAGAATTAGGAAGTTTTTTTCAATTCAGATTAGGAAGTATGAGTCATGACATGGGAACGTAAGAAAAGGAGAAAACTTAAAAGGGCCCATAATTTGATTTTGCACCGGGCCTCCATTTTCCCAGGTACGGCCCTGCCAGAAAGCACTGTATGACTGTGGGTATTATGGACAGAATCTGAGCCTCATGGACTTCCCCTGAGCTCCACACGAAAAACATCTAGAAAACTATTGTTACGTGTACAGGTCACAGGAGCCTTCGAGTGTTCTGAATGAAGCACGTTGAGAACTGTTGATATGTGTATAGTATAGGTGGTCACTGAAGCATCTCCCATGAAGACTAGGGGCACTGACGTTGTGCAGAATGTCACATGTTTGTTTTGCTGGTATAGCCAAGATATTTCGTCGTTGTTTCATCCTATTTGTTTCATTCTGTCTATAGCTTGTAATGAACAATTAGGAAAGGAAAAAGAGAGGGAATGAATCCAATAATGATAGGTGGGAACATTACTTTCCATACTTTGTTTCATGATCCTGATTGGTTGCCTCATGAGATACTCTTATGAGCAGTATTAAATGTCCTTGAAAGAATGTTGTTTTTTTATACCTTTCCATTGTAATTTTGGGTAAGCTTTTTGCCATTTCTTTTCAGTTGAGTTATATGGATTCCTATGAATGAATTCTACAAGAACTGTGATAATGTGCTGACCCTGAGGACCTGCCACTTTGTCATAAACATCTCATTTTCTGACGAACTTCTATTAACTGTACTTTGTTGGACCAATAACTTCTACCGACTACCGGCCATGTGATGTGCTTCAGATGTTCAAACCTTTCTTCTTGTGAAACAGCAAGCTTCAAATATGCTTGCCTCATTTTTGTAGAGATCTCATGGTATAGGTCCCAGTATCAACATGCGACTCAAATAATTCTAACAAATGGTATCATGGGCTAGATTATTCAGAGGTTACAACTTTGTTGATCTAGATGATGGATCATCATCAAGTTTTATGCAAAGACCATATGTGGAGGAATCAATTATCGATGCCAATTATCGTCAAGTTCTAATACATACAAACCTTCTGACTAAATGCACCCATGCAGTCCACTTATCCCTGATCAGAGCTCCTCAAAACTGGATATCCAAAGGATTTGACCGTAACACAATACTAAGGTAGTCTTCCTTGTGTTGAACAATATTATACAAAGAAGGGTATTGTGAAGCGAAGGACGTGTCCCCAAGCCAAGTATCCTCCCAGAACCTAGCACACAGTCCGTCCTTGCAACTCCATCATCCAGGTTTTCACATCCAGAATGGATAACTAGGTAGAATGAACTCCCTCCGTCCCAAAATTCTTGTCTTAGATTTGTCTAGATATGAATGTATCTAATACTAAAACGTGACTTGATACATCCGTATTTAGACAAATTTAAGACAAGAATTTTGGGACGGAGGGAGTAGTTGAACAAAGGCGCTCGTGGAGTGGAAATGAGCTGTGGTCAGTACCGCCCATTTGCACCAGTTATTTTTTCAGAAATTTGTAAAAGGTATGTAAATTCTAATCTCAGTAATAAAAATAACATTTAATTGTTTGCACGGTATAAATATTATATACATACAAACAAAATAACTTACTTTTCAAATTTGTTCATATATTGTTTAATAAATATTCATATTGAAAATAATATTTACAAAATATTAAAAATGTATAATTTAAAACAATACAAATATATTTTTCGTCAAAAATAAAAAAATATTATTTAAATTCACCACACATTTCAATAATCATACGTACATTTTTATAGTTCAATGTTTGTATAACTAAAAATATTCATAATTAAAATTTCATATAAATATTCAATCGTGGCTGATATTTAAATTATATTTTTTTAATAAAAGTCAAGAGTGAAATTATACACAAGTGAATATTCATCAATATTCAGTAAATGTTTGTATTCATCATTTTGTATAATTTAAATATAATATGCAAGTATATAATTTTTTCATTCATTAAATATTTTATTTAATAAACATTTTAAATGTCCGTATTTACCATACATTTTTATATAATACATGGGTGTATATTTAAAAGTTTTTACTTACTATTCATTTTTTGTACATATAATGTACTATTTGAACAACTTTTATGTTTTTGAGTAAATTGAACATTATTTTATTACTTACATTTTACAGATATCTTTAAAAACTAGTCCGCAAAATCGGCCGCAATATCTGCAGCCCAGATAAGCCCCCCATGCATCTTCCTGATACTACAGTACGGCTTGTTATCCATATTAGATATACGAGCATTAAACACTTTTTTTGCATGTACTAACAAGTGGGCCCTATGTGGCATAGAGGCGAAAAAAATGAAATACCACCACGTTGACAGGTGTTTTTTGTGAGAAATTAAAAAAATGATGGGGTTTCGCGAAAAAAAGGACACATGCACTCCTATCTGCCTTCCTGACGCTGACAATGGGCCATATGCCACGATAGCGCGCCAAGTCAGCGTCAATTTCGTACCCAATGCGATTAGCACTGTATTTGTACGCTCGAGCCAAGTTATTGCGCCAGTTCAATGTATGTCGCAAGTTCTAGCACCAAAGTGACTGCTTGTGCCAAGTTCAAATACCACTGGTGTAATTCATTCAAAAAGGTTTATTCAGAACCATCAAAATGCAACACTTAAAAAAAAACTTGTGATATGAGATTATGTATATGAGACTATAGTACACCATATTCCAAATTTCTATTCATGTGTGTTTATATTAGTTTTGTCTTAAATATTGTGCCTTTCAAATTTATGTGATAATATAAAACTAGAATATTTATAAGGTAGAGAGAGGATTTTGGCATGCAGGGGCTAGCCCGTAGATCGTGTGTCGTCTGATTTATCTCGTGATACGAAAGGTGGTTTGAGTTTGCATGTGCTTTAGTCTTAATATCTTAGATGGGGTCAATGCATGACAACTTTTCGCAACTCTTGGCACCGCCACCCATCCCACCTCTCATGTTTTTTGTTACTTTCAAAATTAAATCTATTACATCTTTTGAACTGAAAATCTAATTTATGTTTCGTTTGCATATTCGTATTCCTTGCGACGAGTGCCCTGAAAGAAATACCTCTTTTGAATATGTTTCGATAAGTTTAGAAACTTCAGCAAGTTTCAACTATTAAAACATGATCAAACGAATGATAACAACTTTCAGATACTAAAACTTAAATCCTGGAACATAAATCATGAACCCTAAACTCCAAATATGAAACCTTAAGCCTAAACCCTAAACAAATGGGTCTCGGTAAAACTTGGTAATTACTTAGTCAATGTGGCATGTCGGAGTTGTAGTCGTGCTACCTTCTACTCGTTACTCAAGATCACGCGCATGAGGTTTTGCACACTCAACCGATAATTTGACAGTGTGACTTTTTATGTGTAAAGTCTTAAAGACTAATGTTTATTGTGTCTGGAATCCCTAATTATTGTACTCTTTCCAATCCAAATTAACCGACGAAACTTTAGTACTATGTAGGCCCATTAGGGTATGATGCCTAGTAAAGATTCACATCCAAATCACATTATTAAAAAAAGATTCACATCCAAATCCAAAACATGTTTCAACCTGTCGAGTGTGTAATCTATAGGTTCATGCCACCTCATATATACTCCCTCCGTCCGGAATTACTTGTCGCGGGAATGGATGTATCTAGATGTATTTTAGTTCTAAATACATTCATTTCTATCCATTTCCGTGATAAGTAATTTCGAACGGAGGAAGTATATGACTCATGCACTTGCGCTTCTGTTGGTACAATGAAACATTACAATAACTATCCATTGAGAGAAAATATGGCGAAATATAGTAGTATAATACTCTCTCCGTTCCTAAATATTTGTTTTTCTAAAGATTTTAACAAGTGACTACATACGAAGCAAAGTGAGTGAATCTACACTCTAAAATATGTCTATATACATCCGTATGTGCCCCATTTGAAATCTTTAAAAAAACAAATATTTAAGAAGGGAGGGAGTACTGTACTTCGATTAATCAAGAAAACTCGGCAGAGACATCTAACGTGGACAGCGGTTCCATGCACGTTTGGTACAAAATCCACTCACAAGCTTGCATTTAAAATCATCATCTAAAAAAGCATGCATTTTAAATAATACTCCATCCACAAAGATAGAAAGAGTCTTTAGACCAGCGTTAGGCAAACTCAAAAGATAAATTTGTACCGAACGCGCTAATTACAAATTCAAAAAACAAAAATGACCAGAAACGCTAGATTACCAATTCGAAACTAGGCAACAAAATAAGAAAAACTCATACAGTATCGCGCTGCCACCGTGGATATACGCAAGCCCAGCGAGCTAGAGCCTGGGGCTGGGAGGCCTCTTCGTCCTGATCTCCGCCTTCGCCTTGCTCGGCGTGGTCGGCGTCCTTGGCGTCCTCGGCGACGACACCCCTTGTTTCTCCGCGAACTCCAGCGACGGGCGCCTCTTCATCGACGGCGAGGACACCAGAGTCGCCCTTTCGGGGAGCTCGGCCTTGTCAGCCGCCGCGGGGCTCGCGCACCGGGCCTTGGCCTTCACGGACTTGGTCGCCTGCATGTAGCTGGGCGTCACCGGCGCGCCGCCCGTCTCGCCTGCGTCGACCTCTCTCGCTCGTGGACTCAGCCTCCCCGGCAGCTCCCCCGACCGCAAGCTCGTCGTCCGTCGCAGCGAGGCCTCCTTGTCTTCGCCACCGCCGACACCGCTTGTCCCCAGGTGCTCCTGGCTGCTCCGCGGGCGCTCCGACAGCATGCTTCCCGACCCTTTGAACGGGCTACCCCTCGGGCTCGGAGCCCGCCGGGGCGACGCGACCGTCTTCCCCAGCGCCGAGGGGTACCGCGACTGCGTCGGGGTCGACGGCGACGACCGGCCGGCCGGCCGAGCGGACCTGCCCGTCGGCGTGGTGGGAATCTGGACTGAGATGGACACCCTCGGGCTGGCGGCCCGGCCGACGCTCTTCGCGGGAGCAGCGCGGTCCTTGACGTCCGGCGGCGCGGTCTGGCTCTCCCACGGCCTGGACGCCGCCATACAGCGCTCCGCCAAGCTCCAGCCCCAGTTGGGGCAGCCGGGGTCCATGAACGTCGGAGGGTGCGACAGCGTGGGTGTCACTCTCCCTCGCCCCGAGGAAGACGAAGAAGAAGGGCTCCTGTTCCTCCACTGCAAACGAGACAGCACAAGCAGAGTGAGTTCAGCAGAGGACATGAACACGTCGAGCCACAGTGCCATCGACAATGGAGATCCGACGGCTACCTGGTGAGATAAGGCGTAGGACAGGGCCCTCTGCCGCCTCGACGCAGCCTCCTGCTTCGTCGCGAGCGTGGCCTCGATCTGCTCCTTGGACTGGTGAGTGTGATCCCAGACTTCACCAATCTGCATGCGCTAAATAATGTCAGCAGCAGCACACCGGCCAGGTAAGGTTACGTTCAGCTAGCTATGAGATGATGCTCCGCACCTTGGTTTTGTCAGGCCCTTGCTTAGGCTGGGCCTGACTCTTGAGAGCCTTGTCCTTGTTGACCCTCCTGGCGTATATCTGCGTCTGAACCCTCGTCATCATCTGCATGCTGTACAGCGCGTCCTCCGTCTGGCGCTTCACGGCGACCCCCTCCAGCAGCGACATCAGCCGAGCCTGCGCCCTCGCCTTGTACCCCTTCCTTACCTGAACGCGAATAAAATGTTTCCAAGTTTTCAACATGTTAGATATATACTACGAGTAGATCGAAATGTGATCATGCAAATCTTTCATCTTCCTTGTGTTCTGCTGAGGTCCAGTTTTCTTTGATCCTTGAACGTTCAGAATAACTATTCAGATTTTGGCCTCCCGAGAGAAACAAGTTTGGCAACGGCTGATCGATGCATTACCAGGTAGCCCCTGCAAGCCGTCTGAATCCTGACGGCGGCAAGCTCCTCCTTTGACCGTGGCGTGACGACGGCCGTGGCCTCTGCCGGCTGCTGCTGCGCCACCGGTGCGGCGAGCGCCGCGACTTGGAGTCCACCATCGTTTTGCTCGCTCGTCGTTCCGGCGGATTTGGCCTCCGCAGCATCCCGCTGATCAGGCTGCGGAGGAGGCTGCTGATGGGCCGCGGGGGCAGTCTCCGGCGCCGCAGAGGAGGAAGAAGTGGACGTGCTGGACTTGCCGAACTGCCATAGCTTCTTGAAGCTCGATTTACTCGTCGGCCTCTCGGCCGGCTTCTTGGATCGAAAACATCGATGCGGATCGGTCATTTGCGTCGACTGGAATTCGATGAAGACGGGAGAATTGCACGGTTTCAGTTACCTGCTTGCCTACCTTCTCCTCGCGATCAGGCTCCGACGAGCTCAGGATCCTCTGCACGGCGTCAAACCACCTCACCTTCTTCCCCATTGCCCCCCTCGCCTATCTAATGTTTACAAAATGCAAAAATCATCAAGAACAAGTGGAAATCTAATGATGTTTACGGCAGCAAAACTAGCATCAATCAACATTGCCACAGATCGAGCAAAACAAAAATGTGAACCTCTTTCAAAGAGCCTTCTTCTGTCTTCTGCCGGCTCGCCCTCTATGCCGTCGATGCCGCCGGAGTCGGACACGTCCGCCTGCAACCTCGTCAACGACGGCGAACCGCCTTGACGCACGTCCACTCCCCGTCAGGCCGTCGCGGACCCACTGGCTGGCTGGCGTCTGTTCCTGTCCCTACATTTCAGTCCCACCGCGCCTCACACTCCGCCGTGATAAACGCACGCACACCCCACGGCCCAGTTAGGCAAAACCAGCCCACGAACCAACCTCACGGCCCACCCCTCGGCAGGCCCGTTGGTCCAGCCCATAAGCCCGGCCTTTCGGCCACTTCCCACCCCGTCTCCTCCTCCCAATCGGCTCCCCAGCTCGCCGATATCACCACCCAAATCGCCCGCGCGCGCGCAGCCTCAGAGGCCGAAGCCACCCGGAAGACCAAACCCTAGAGCCTCCGTCTCCGCCCGCCAGGCCGACGCGCTCGCGCTAGCTCCCTCCCCGGCCTCCCGCTCCCGCCGGCCCGTGCACGAGGTATCTCGCCCTCCCCTCCCGCGGCGGCGAGATCGATTGGGGATTTCGAGGCTTTAATTTGCGCCGACTAACCTCTCCGCCCCAATTCCACAGATTCGAGTAGGGAGCGCCGGGGGTTGGTTCGCCGCGATGATCTGGCTTTCGGGGGTGGAGGGAGGGGTGGACCCGGAGGGGCGGGACGAGCTGCCGCCGGTGGATGCCGCTACGGACGGGGAGGCGATGGCGCAGGGGAGTTTCGGCGAAGCAGATTTTGATGCCATGATGGTGGAATCTGGTGGGGTGCAGGACGAGGAGGAGGGGAGTAGTAGCCTGGCGCAGATACAGAATATTGCCGCCGACACGGCGGAGATTTCTGATCCTGCCGTACCTCAACATGATGCTGAAGCCGGTAAGCATACTCTGACATCAGACTCTGGTTAGTTTGATCTACTGCATGTTGATTCCACCCCCTTGTTCCTTCGACTTGTATGGCATCACGGACTAATTGGTTTTTGTAATCTTGCAGAATTGAACGAAGATGATCAGCGTACTAGATACCATCTTCCTCCCCTTGATAAAGATGGGTTTCGAGTTTCTGATCTTGTCTGGGGTAAATTGCAAGGTCATCCCTGGTGGCCTGGTGCAATTTTTGATCCTTCAGATGCATCTGAGCTGGCATTGAAGCATCAGAAAGAGGGCCACCATCTGGTAGCATTTTTTGGCGACGATTCTTTTGCGTGGTGTCATGAATCCCAGTTGAAGCCTTTCATGGACAACTGTATAGAGATGGAGAAACAAGGCAATTCTGATGCCTTCACCAGTGCAGTTAACTCTGCGCTTCAAGAGCTCTCAACGCGGATATTGACGGCCACGAGTTGCTCTTGTCTCCCAGAATACCTCTCTGAGAATGGCATGTGTTATCTGCGTGGGAATTTTGGGCTCAAGGCTGGAGTTACTTGCTCTAAGGTTAACCAGGCTGAGATATTGCAATTTTTCAGTCCAGAACACCTTCTTCATTATATGAAGCTGCTGGCTCTGTCCCCTTGCCAAGGAGGTGTTCTGCAGGATTTAGTGATTGCTTGCTCTCAACTTATGTCTTTCTATCGCTCTAAGGGATACGGTGAAATTGCATCATTTCAATCTGGCAGTGCATGGGCAGAGGATGGCATCGACACAACTGTCACCAATGAAGTGCAGCCTAGTCATGTGAAGCCCAAAAGAGGTAGGGGAAGACCTCGTAAGCGAAAGCCTGACGATAACATAGAGTTGGCAGAGGGAAGGCCCATTGTGAAGCCTCAGAATGAACCGATAGTTCATAACAATATTGGTGAAACAGAGTGTGGTGAAGTTGACATCTCTGTGAAGAAGCCAGCAAAAAGGAGGCGTGTGCAGAGGCGCCATGGTGTGGACACCAAGGACTTATTATCTGGGATGGCAGCTTCTACTGAAATGAGCATGATTGGGAAAACTGAAGGGGACAGGAGTGAAGAGTGGAAAATTTTGCCTTGTCCTAAGGAAGAAACAACGGACCATATGCAGGATGCCTACTGGTCTGGACTGAGTTTACATACTGTCTCCACTCATAGCCTCAAAGGGGCAAGTGGCAAAACAAGGCCGATACGTAGGCGGAGACCGACGCGACGGACATGTGCACCTTCATCAGATCTTTCTTCCCCTGTACAGAATATGCAGCCTGAAACATTGGATGTTAACAGGAAGATAGAAGTGATAAAAAGATCAATTATCCACGTTGACGAGAAGATGGTCCATGACGTAAACCCCACTGCACTTATTTTGTGCTTTGGCAAGTCAATTGCTCTTCCTTCAGAAATGGATTTTATTAGGGCGTTCAGTCGCTATGGACCACTAAAAGAGACCGAGACTGAAGTGCACGAGAACACAAATACTGTTAAAGTTGTCTTCAGGAAACGTGTCGATGCTGAAAGGGCTTTCAGTGTTGCTGGCAACTTTGGTTCTTTTGGACCTTCACTTCGAAGTTTTCGTCTTGCGAATATGCCATTTTCTCTAAGAACGGCTGAATTGAATTATCCTAAGTTACACCCTGAAGATAGTAGCATGGAGATTCCTGGTAAACATTCTTTCTCTTAAATTTGTAAAATCCAGCGAGTTAAATATGCTTAGTTGCTTACAGTACCTTTTGCATGTGTTTTCTTATAGCTTGTAGGCTGTCTGGAGGTGCACTGGATTCTGTGCAAATTGACGTCATCGACAAAGCTGGCAAAGGTGAAACTGTAAAGAATCCATCAGTTGAACACACTGAGATGGTCAAGCTTGCAGGACAAGATGAAGGCAATACCGAGCGTGCTTTACATGCTGGACGCAGAAATGAAGAGTCACCTGATGTTCTCTCAGATACCATGCAAACTGGAATTGTAGATGACACCTCAAAACACAAACTTGTGTGTGTACATGGTGTTGTCGAGGCCTCGGAAGATACCATGGAAGTTGATAATACGGATGAGACTCGAGACCTGAGAGCTCAAGCTTTTACCGGATATGTACCAAAACAGTCTTTGGGGGATGAGTACGCGTTCCAGGGAATCGAGGGGGTCAACAGTTGAAATGCCTGTTGGGGAGGCTAGAAAATTTAGCTGCTGCTGAACCATTAGCTGAGGAAACCGCGGAAGGTGAGATTGCAGCCAATCCAGCGGATTAGGAAACTAAAGAAGCTGACAAGACTCTGGGCGATGGCCCGACTACTGCATTTGATGGACAAGCTGACCGAACCAGCTTATATTGAACTGTGTTGACATTCATGTCGTCTAGTCAATGTCAATGTGTTCTCTCATCTGTATGATGCGTTCTGTATAGAGAATAGTGGTAGACTCTTAGAGTACCATACTGTCATTTTTCTGGCAACTACAGCATTGACACCTTCGTGTTCATTTGTGTAAATTTCATCTAGATCTAATTGTCTACCGTGCACAACTGATTACTTGAAGATCATACTGGTGCAGTGATCAGTGGAGCTGGTCTTGCTGTTGCCATGTGCAAGCATATGGAAACCATGATTTTAACTGATGTTTCTCTTGTCATTTGACTGCCATGTAGTGTTTGTTTGCCCATCACCAAGATAGTGAAAAATGATCCTGAGTTTCTGCCTGGTGAGAAAATAGGAAATACTCCCTTCGTAAAGGAATATGAGAACGTTTAGATCACTGAAGAGGGGGTACAATATATTGTGATAAATTGTTTGCTCCTGTTTGTTTATTGTTTAGAGGTATGAGTCGCATCTCAAACCGAGTAGACTCTGGTTTCTCATCCGTTTATTCTAAATTCTTTGGGTGCAATGGTTTCTCTAATGGTAGTGAAAACACCATTGTGATCGGTTATTGGTAATAAAAATATATAATTGTTTTTAGGCGAAAAGAGATTTAAGGAAAAAACAGTAATAAAGGCATATCCAACTTTTGTAAGAAAAAAAAAAACCCTAGTCAAACCTCACTCTCGACCTCTCGGCTCCACTGCCATCTCCTCCCCTTCCCTCCCGGCCCTCTACCCACCCCTCCACCATGGTCGGGAACGGATCCGGCAGCGAGTCCGACATCGACTGGACGGCGCTTGCCAGGGAGGGCTCGAGCTCGTCCGCGTCGGACGAGGAGTTCACGCTCAACATTGCCCTCCGCCGTTTGCAGATGGACAGGGGCGGGAGCTCCTCCTCGATGGCGTCGCCAGGGGCCCGCGTGGCCAGCTGCAGCTCCGTGCCGGCCTCGATCAGGTGGCAGGGGCGCAGGGCGACCGGTATGGCGCCCAGGACCTGCTCCTCCAGGCCGGCGCTGGGTGCTCGTGCCAGGACATTGTTCAGTTGCAAATGCATCTGCAGTAGATTGAGATCTCATTCTGCTTCTCGGTGCTCCTCTCCGAAGAATGCTTCTAAATTTCAAAATATCCATCTGAATTCCAGAAGGACAAAAACGATCATTCAGTCTTCGTTCTCCGGAAGCTACCTACACTCAGGCAGCATGTGATACCCTTTACCCATCCACAGAATTATCATATTTCTACAAACCAGCATCTGAAGGTTGCTGGTGATCACAAATCTTCAAGCAAAGATCACGTGCTGGCATCTGAAAAGGTCAGAATGGCCTCACAAGTTTGATTCATGTCGAGGTCTGAATGCAAACACAGTTTCTGCTCAGTTGGCCCTGGTTTTCTGACCTTAGTTACTACCCACTCGCTGCTGGCTCAGCAATGTGATACAACATAGCAAAACGATCTCGCCCCTGTCAATACTATTATTCCTAGCTGGACTCAAAACCACCTGCGTCCGTCTTATTGCGAAAATATCCGCGAGTTTCCACGGCGGACAGACTGACGGTAGACCGGCGATGACCTTAAGC